AATTCTTCAGCGCTCAGCCTTCTTTATGGTCCAGCTCTCACAGCCATACATTACTACTGGAGCAATCATGCATATGTTGCCTTTATCCCTCAACAACAAGGCTGTCCCTTTGAGGGGGAAAGAAACTCTGTGCCTCCCGAGGTTTTCTCCTCGGATGCTAACCGCGTTCTCTATTCTTGCAGCTTTCTCACAAGAGCAGTTGCATAGATTGCAACCTTGATTAAAATTCAGTAGGACCCATTTCATTAGCTCCGAGGCCAGGGCTGGCTCCCGAACTCCACGCTGGTTACGTACGCCCCAATCTCAGCTCGTACAGCTTCCACAGAGGTCTTGTAGCAGAAAACAAACTGGCTAGAAAAACACACACACAGAGAGAAAAACACAAATGAATCATCATATTTGGACAGCTTAATTTGGCCAGGCGGGTAGGGAGAGAGAGTCAATTCCCATCACCATCGGTGGGATTATTTTATGGTTCAAAGAACATGGCACAAGATCCTTTTTGGAACCTGACCCCATTGATGCGAGACCAGGTTGGAGACGCAGCAATATTCATGTATGCGGCTCTTCCTTCTCCTGCTGCGAAATTAATTTCCTCTTTTGAACTGGAAAGATTTGATCACCTTCTCAAGTTCTTTAGGCTCATCTTGGCTGGTGAGATAGGAAGTTTTCCTGAAGGTGGGATCAGGGGGGCGGGGGGGAGCTGGCTTCCAGATGTGTTGAATTATCCCTTTCATCCTCTGCAATGGGAAGATTAAAGGAAGGCCGACAGGAGGGGGGAAAGCAATGGATTTCTTAATTGATTGCTGAGTGCGAGAGCTGCGTGGTGTCGCCATTGCGCTATTCAAGCCCCATTTGGAGGGAGCCTCTAAGCCCCCTTTTTTTTGCCCGTTTCGGGGCTGCAGCTTCCAAAACAGGGGCTGTTGGGTGACATTTTGGAAGGAAGATGCGCAACTGGAAATGTCAGCTCTAAGATAGGACCACCAGGGTGGACTAGAGGGGAAGGTGCTGGACTAAGACTGGAGAGACCCAGATTCAAGGCCATCCTCAGACACAGAAGCACCCTGGGAGACATTAGACTGGCCATTCTCTCTCAGGCTAGCCTACCTCACAAGGAGGTGGTGGAGGAAAGTGGGAAGGCCTTCTAAGGCCTTGGCCTTCTAAGGGGAAGGGGAGATAGAAACCCAACAAATCAATTAAATAACAAAATAATCTCAGCATTTTTTTAAAGGAAGAGGCATATCCCCTTCCAGTTTCCCTCCATCATGAGAAAAATGGAAACTCTCACCTTCTTTATCCCAGAACACTCTTCACAGTCCCACCCCACTTTGAAATATTAACCTTGGCTCCTCAAAACATTGTAGACATTGATCGCCCATGGCTGCTCCTTTTCAAGTCTGTTTTAAAAAATCAGAACAATTACAAGAGGAAATCAAATAGCGAGAATGGGCTTTTGATGTTTTCAGCTGACAACTGGTAGAGAAACTATAGGCTTGTTTCAACACTTGGGGTTAGCTGAGATTTTGTGTATACTGAGCTGAATATAAGAGCCAGTTTGGAGTAGTGGGGAAGGCACCAGGCTAGAAACTGGAAGACGGTGAGTTCTAGTCCTGCCTTAGGCATGAAGCCAACTGGGTGACCTTGGGCCAGCCACTCCCTCTCAGCCCCAGGAAGCAGGCAATGGCAAACCACTTCTGAAAAACCTTGCCAAGAAAACTGCAGGGACTTGTCCAGGCAGTCGCCAGGAGTCAACACTGACTTGAGGGCATAAAAAAAGAAAAGAAAAAGAAAAAAACCGCATACCAATCTCACCGGCTGGTCATGTCTGTTAAGGACAGAAGACATGGACTTCTAAGGATCCTGGATGCTCCTTTAAGATCGATTGCTTGCCCAGGTCTAAATAGACAGCCAACCAGAAGTTGAATCCAAATCGGAGTATGCAAAGGATTGGCCCAACCTTTCCTTAAAATAAGATTCTAGTCCTTAAGGTACAGTAAAGGAATACAGCAAGTGCCTTCTATAAATTAGATTCTAAATTTATCCAGCATAGTCAACACTTCTTGCCTGGCCCTGTGCACAAAACACAGAAGCTAGTTTGTTTCATGGCTTAGCGTGCTATGTGAACCCAATATCTTTGGGTTAGTTTCAGGTGCAAATTCAGAAAAATGGGTTGACTTCTGTTCCTAAAGTCAGGTAATCCCCGTTTAAGAATGAGTTCCGTTCCCAAGGTCTGTCCTTAAGACAAATTTGTACGTAAGTCAGAACAGTATTATTGTATAATCCTGTAGAAGTAGTATTGTGTAATGAACTCAAACCGTTGTGTACTGAACTCAAATCATGGTGTATTTAGCTCAGATTTTGCTACAATAGGCTCCGTCTTAACTATGGGTCGTCCGTAACCTGGGCATTCTTAACCCAGGGACTCCCTGTACTTGCAAACAGTCACTGAGAGATTCTGGAAATGAAAGCCGGAGCAGTTGGACACAAGAGCAATTTGCTACAGCTTTTCCAGGAACTTAACAAATTGTAGCGAGGTCTTTAGATAATCATCATAGTGCTGAAATCCATAGTACAGGAAGAAAAATGTAGGCTGTTTGGTTGGCTGAAGAATTGCATTTGAATTAGATAGAGAAAGGGGTAAGAAAGACTTCAGTGAAATATTTTACTTTTCCCCTTTGAGATATATTATCAGCTTGTTGCTAAAGATAGTATTCAGAAAGAACAACTCCCTCTCCTCCTTTTCCCACACCGCTGGAAACTGAGTATTGGCATACGTAATCTATTAAGTTTCACTTTTCATCGGAGATTTTTAAAAAAGCAAGCTTCTTGCCCTTCTGATTAAGAATACAGTATATGCTTGGAAGAAAGCATTGGGGTGACATTTGTCACGAGCAAGAAGTCTCGTTTCAAATGGGGCGGGGGTGGGGAACACGCTGCTGGGCTTATTTTCCACGACCACTGCAAAAAATATGTATCCACAGTAAATTCCCGATAAAGGTCTCGTTCGGGGGTGCTCTGAAAAATGCCTCCAGAACAAATGTAAGCAGAGATTAAAGGAAGCAGAATTTGGGGAAGGGAGTCACTAGTTGTCAACTCCCTGCCCCAGGTAGACCAGACTAGATCAGGAGATCAACTCCAGAGGAAGGCTAAAACTACTTTTACTGAGATAGGATAATCGAATCTTGCAAGTCTGATAGGGCTGGATCTCCCCCCCCGCCCCGCCCCTTATACTCCAGTGAATTAGGGAGGTGTCTATCTGTCACTTCTGAATCTTCTCTCATTTCTCTGGACTTAAAAAATATTTCAGCCCCTAGGGAAGAGTTCGTGCATATTTCCATCAAAGTCATATTCCTTCGACTCTCCACGCTAGTCCTCATGAGGCATACTCTGCTTCAAAAATGCTATTATGTCCAAGGTCTCTCCTTCATAGATCATCTCCTCTTCTGTTGTAGGACAAAGATCAGCACTGGTTACTCCAGAAAGGAGCTCAATTGCAAGGAAAAATGACATAGGATCCTTCCATCTTCCAGCAGAGAAGCCCACAAGGTTGTCTTCGACTGTCCCTCCCCTAGAATAAAATGTAGAGATAGGCAAGATTTTGATGGATTGATTATGTGCCATTAAGTCATTTGGCTTCAGTACTGACCAGTGAGCTGGTTGTATTTATTTTTCTACAGATGAAGATCCCTAGCCACATCTCCTGCCTTCTCCTGCTGAGTTTCGGGACCTGTTTCCCCGCCAACAGCATTCAAGTGCCAGCAAACCCTGGAGAGGAAGTGGTACAAAAGGATCCTGGCCTTTGGGAGACCCCATCTCTGAAGTGGCGGCGTTCACCCATGGACCTCAGTTCTCTCTTCAGCATCGCCAAAGAGCTTCAGAGCTTTGGGAAAGAGAAGGCGGGGATCCAATTCCGATTTGGGAGGCGGGACATGGACGAGAATCCCAACGCCGTCAAGGATCTGCTGGAGGAAGGGGGTGAGAAAGGGGCCAGCAGTTTGGAGGCCCTCGCAGAAGAGTTGAATGGCTACTACAACGGGAAGAAAGCTGGCTTTAGCATCTGGTTTGGAAGAAGAAAACGAGAAGCTTTTTGTTCCAAAGGTACCCTTCTTGGAGCTCCAAAGCTCTGACACAATCCATTTGCAACGCTAGCTGTGCTTCTCAAACCACCATCCATTTCTCATTTCTGCAGTTTCCAGGGATCTGAAAGAACTTTCTCATTGTCCCTTCCTCTTTCTTAACCCCTCCTCTCCAAAATTTAATTTGCTTCCCACAGAACAGCATGAGATAGATCCAAGCTAACTGTCACAATCAAGTTTTCTCCATGTCTTTTGAAAGGTCCAAGGTGGTTTGGACCACCCCAGGTGGATTTTTGCTTGCCGTGTGCCACTTGGTTGGGACAATGCAGCATGTGTCATTTTCACAGGGGGGCCTCCAAGATCCACAACCCACAGCCCAACGGGAGGCCTTCCAGATGTGCACTAGAATGCAGCTCTCAACAGTCCCAAAGGGAGCTGCGATCTTCCACATCTGGAGAACAGGTGGGGAAAAGCTGCCCGGAATTCTCCACCGTCTTTGCCAGCTCTGCAGCAGATGTGCTCCTCGAAACAAAAAGCATTTCAAATCCAACATCTGTAGCACCAACCCAAACTGCCTTTTTTTTTTTCATTTTCACATTCTTCCCCCCCTTGTTAAACAAAAAAGGTATCTTTTTTAGCAGGGAAGGAGGGTTCTGGGGACCCCCTTCCCAAATTCCCTCCAACCCGGCCAACATCTGAAATTTTTGTCCAGAATTATGGGCAAGGATCCAAACGAGGGAATGAAGATGGGAGGGGAGAACTTTGCAGATGCTTAAGGGGGGGGGGAATGTCCTCCCAACAGCTCAACTCCATTAAAAGCAATGCTTTGATGGACAGCTGGTGGGCTTGGGCTCCTTTGAGCACCAGCCAACCTTGATAAAGAGAAACAGGAACGAGTAAAACCACCCCTCCTTTGGCATCAGATCCCCTGCCGAGAAACATTCAAGGGGCAGTGGGTTTCCAAGGCTAGTGCCAGCTCTTGACATCCAGAATAATGGCCCTGTGCAAGAAGAGTAAAGTTCACTTTTCCATTCACTGTCCATTAATGCTAACGTCCCTCCAGCCACAAAGTTTGCTTGACAGCCGCGAGATCAAGAGTATAATTTCAGTTCTTCAGGAGGGCACAAAAGGGTCCCCGGCTGTGCAAGTTCACCTCTTACAACTCCTCCTTCAGCTCAGTGCAAGCCAGAAAAATCATTTGAATGTAGAAGTAAGCGTGAACCTTTTCCATCTTTGGGGGGCAGTGGGCCCTGTAGGTCTAGAAGTATATTTAGTAATACACTAATCTCCATTGCCAGATGACGATAATATCCTGCTTTATTTCTTCCAGCTTTGAGGTGTAGCAAGAAGGTCAAACATATATGTGTGTGGATGGTTTTGGGGGCATGGTCTTACACGTGTGGGGAAAGATTGGGAATGGGGGAGAAATTAATTTGGATTCACTCAGAATGCAAATTTACCGAGCTTGAATTTCTGGGACTGACCTCATAACCAAAACACGCCTGTCCTTTGCAGCTGTCACTTTTGGGAACGTTGTGTAGCTGTTCAATAAATGGTGCCTCCAAGTGCATATGTTAGGGCAACACATACACACCCAACACATGTTTATCAGGGCAAAGAATGCAGGAAAATGCTTATTTTATAGGAAGATGCTTGCTAAGAAAAATATACTGCAAGAAATAAAAAAATGCACGCATGCCAAAAGACAAAAACAGAGCAGAGATTGGGACAAGTGCACACAAAAGGTGTGCGTGTCGAGAAGCATGCACAAAAATCCATGCAAGGGGTTTGCAAGGGTTTTTTTTATAGGCAAAATGGACTCGTGGGAAGGTGGCTGCACCTAAAATTCCTCAAGGGAATGAGCAGACCACCAGGTGACAAAATTGTGAAGAACAGGACTGTTGACTAAGTGAACGGGAATAGGAATAGAAGGGTTAGAAATTGGATCATTGCTCCCTGAAACTGGGTTAAATTCTAAAAAGGATACCATCTGTCACCCACCCTTTTCTCCAAAATAGCTAATGGAGCCCCAGCTCTGTAAACTCAGCAGATCTGCCGATTGCAACCAGTTCCACAATTTCATTACAGAAAGTGCCCTTTCATTAAACGTTATTAAAGCGCTCGTCGAGAAGTGGTGAGCAATTTTTACAATGCCTCCCTCCCCGATGGTGCAGGGCTGTCACACTGCATCTACCTTTAACATGTGGTTGGGGATTTGATGCTAGATTTGAACAACTCTCCCACCTTAGGAAACTAATTATGGAGAGATGAAAGGGCTAATTTTGCAAAGAAATAAGGTTAGAAGGGTATTGATGCTCTTGAACTTTGGGGTTGGAGAGGACTCCTGGGAATACCGTGGACAGCCACAAAAATAAACCAATGGATCATCAAACACATCAACCCAGAGTTCTCACTCAAGGCACAACTGACCAGGGTCAAATTATCCTACTTTGGACACATTATGCAAAGACCTAGCTCTTTGGACAAGGCTCTGATGCTGGGGAAGGTGGAAGGAAAGATGAGGCTGACCAGCAGCAAGATGGATGGACTCAGTTACAGTGGTGATGGGGGCAACGTTGGAAGACCTGAAGGACCAGGTTGGGGACAGATCATCATGGAGAAAATCTATCTATATTTAAACTAGTGTGGAACTGGAAATGCTTCAGGGCAAACAAAAGTTAAAACTTCAATCTGGTGCTACAGTCTTCAATTCGGTCTAGATGAAGCAGGGGTTGGTCAACTTTGGCCTATCAGAGAACTTCCAAAATGATCCCCACCCACCAAAAGCTTAGGTTATACATTGATTGGGGGGGGGGGGGGAATCTACCCACATGGGTAAAGATACAGAATATTTGAATCTAATCTTCTGAGTTGAAGTTGATGTCCTCCAGAGACTCTAGGACAGTGTTTCTCCACCTTGGGAACTTTAAGATGTGTGGACTTCAACTCCCAGAATTCTGGGAATTCTGGCTGGGGAATTGTTGGCTGGGGAATTCTGGGAGTTGAAGTCCACATATCTTAAAGTCCCCAAGGTTGAGAAACACTGCTCTAGGACAATGTTTAAGATCCTGTACTGAGCAGAAAGTGGGACTACATGATCTTTATGGTTTCTTCCATCTCAGATTCTGTGATGGAATGGAATTATGAAGGCCAGGCTCAGGGAGATAAGCATTTTCTTAGTTCACCGCAAGAGCATGGGAACTTCAAGAGGATGAGGCTGGCACCTCCCTGAGGAATTCACACTATTGTGGCTGGCTGACTTTGGGATCTGGGGTTCAGTCTGGGGAGATTCTTGCTAGAGGTTGTAGCTAATAAACGCAGCTGAACTGATTTTGCACCGTCTCTTGGAGTTCCTGGGGCTAAACCTGACAGGGTGCCTAGTTAAGGCAAAAGTATGAGATAAAAAGTGGATA